AAACTTCGTTGTGGTAGAATGTGTGCGTATGTGAGTGAGTGTGTGTTTGTGTCTGCCAAGAAAACATGATGATAATACATTTTTCCTTAAAACTCAATGTGTGGGTGTCTAAATTACTCTAATGATGTATGTACATGTGTATGTGTGTTTGTGTGAATGTTCATGTCTGTGTTTCTAGAAGCTATGGTAGTTGGAAAATAAGTGAAGCATTTATCCCCAGCAACTAATCTCTAGTCATTTGTGGCCATTTAAGATTTTTCGACTTTGATATTAAGCCGCATTGCCGTACCGTGCCGTGCCACCGCTCATTGTGAAATAAATTAGTACTTAGCTTTTATTGCTTTCACAGCAATGATGGAAGTCGTAGCTACGCCTCTTCACTTGCTTAGCATCTAATCCCCTCGAGTATTAGTTTATGTCATCTAAAATAGACTTCTGCTGGTGTTTGTGAGTGGAGGAGGCGGGGATGTTGCCAAAGGAAGCAATAATTAGCAGTAGTTTTTATCCCCTTGACATTTACATGTGTAGTCCAAAAAAATAAAGTACATATTTGTGGGTGTGTGTTTGAATTGTTGTAGATCGAGTAGATTCAATTGTTGAAAATAACATATTTTACAGGATCGTAAAGCTACGAACTAAATAAATAAAAGAGAACGGCCCTTGTAAGCCATCATCCACACCAAATATGCCTGATGAGCCGCTTAACCAACGGCGAAACGCGTCGCATAGTGGTGAGTGTGTGATAGTGTCTGACTGGCTTTCCTTTTCACTGCAAATTTCAGATCATTAAGCTCGTCTCGAAAAAGAAAACAAACACATAAATCATAAAACATATGATCTTCGCCTTAACAAGGCAAAACTCAATAAATTTAAATTTTTAAATTGGGATCCAAACTATGTTTTCAAAGTATATCAAAAACAAGTAAGCAAATGCTACATTCGAGCGGGGCCGACCGTTGAATACCCTACAACACTATTATAAACGATACAGTTTATATAGGCGAGATACTCGACAGAATTCCACAAGATATTGTGACAAATACTTAAAGAAAACCATCAGGTTTCGTTCTCTAATTTTCGAATAATAGCAACTTAAACGAATTTGCTTATTTCCAATTTATTGGTAGATGTCGTAAATGGTCTTCCTAGATCAGGAACCAATATTTCCCAAAGACCTATAATCACTCAGAAGTGGCGAAATATTAACATTTATTATTGGTTTTTGACTGAAACGCATCTATATGAGATACAGACATTTGACTATATTCTTCAACGAAATAGTCAGAAGTGCGTCTTTCCTGTATTTGTGAATTCTCCAAAAAGTCACTGCAATGGGCATTTTCGTATTTTGTCTACAAAAGTTGGCAAACTATTTCACACATTGAATATTTTTGGATGGCCATCCGAAACCGCTTGGCTTTTGCAATGCGCGGTAACCCCCATTCAAATGTGCGTGAGGATCGGGCGATAATTACGACCTGCCGACAATTTTACAATTTTTTGGTCCATTTCAACCCCTAAATATATTTCGAACATCTCCAAAAAGAGTAAGCTTCTATTCTGACCCTCATCTTATACCCATGCAAAATTTCGTAAGGATCGGGCCATAAATGCGATCTGTATATGATATCCTGAAATCCTAACTACTTAGTTTTGTTAGCTGTAAAAATATTACCAAATATTTAATTCAAAATGAAAATATGCCAAAAATATTACAAAAATTGAAAAAATATGAGAAAATGTTACAAAATCAATATTTTCATCTTTAAATAGATATTTTTATGCGATTTTTTAGACGTTTTTTCTTTCCTGCCAAGAGGCCATTCTGAATTAATGAGAACTGTTGAAATCAGTTCAGCCGTTCTCGACATATAAGAGATCTTTCAAGCATATCTACTTTGATAGACATATATATCGCACATATTTTGGTATATATCCGATTTGTTGGATGTTAACATCAATGTAAAGATTAGAAGTGAATTTTTTCAACACAAAATATATGGTATATTTTACCCGCTAAATATTATCCGATGACCACCCAAATTGGTAGGCTTCTTCCCCGCCCTAAATTCTAGCTACATACGAAATTCCGCGTCGATTGGTCTATAATTGCGACCTGTATAGCTACTGCAAAATCCGACATTTTTTCAGTATTTGGTCCATTTTAACCCCTAAACATTTGGCGATCATCTCCAAAAATAATAGGGTTCTATTCTGGTCCAAGCCCCACCTCCATTCTAAATTTCGTGAAGATCGGGCCATAATTGCGACCTGTAGAGTGATTACAAATTAACATGGACAGACGGACAGACGGACGGACGGACATACATAGGTATATCGACTCAGCTCGGCGGGCTAGGAAGATCCATATATACTTTCCTATGTGGGAAATCAATATTTCGAGGTGTTACATAATTTTTGGCCCAATCAAACTTATAATACCCCCAACACAAATTGTTGTAGGGTATAATGACAAACCATAAACCTTCAAAATTCTTTAAATAAATTGTTAGTTCTCTGGGAAAGCTATAGTAGAACGTCTATTACTCAAAGAGTGTCACAGCTCAAAAATTAAGTAATTCTTTTAATCAATGTACTGATTTGTCGACTTATATTAAACTCCAAGTAGAACAAGTTAAAAAGTATCAGTTGGTTTTGCTGACAGATATATACCCTCAATAATAGACAATTTTAATATATTCTGATTTCTGTAATGATTATTCAAATGTTTGACTCTCTATGACTCTCTATGGAATAGGTTTCATAGGAATGGATCAATATTATCCATTTTATGTCGAACCTAAATAAATATGATATACATTCAGTGACGTACCAGGTTTGGACTTTATCGACTACTTCCTTCACTGGATATGTGCCTGAGGTACCATATATAGCCGACCGACAATTAAAGTATTTAAAATTGTGACCCTTTGAGGATAAGGTACCAGAAGGGGTTCGCTGATATATATCATCTTCACAACAGCTCTAGTGTTAGCAAAAGCTTATTTCGCTTTCTTTCAGCGTTTTGTTTTTCAAAATCTTGAACCCTATGTGGGGGAGGTACCAGAACAAATGGTACGATCTCTGCCATATTTATAATATATGTTGTGTTGAGTGGACCGATATATTCCATCTTAACACCAGATCTTGGGTTTAGAAAAATATTAGAATGTGTGAGACAATCGGATTCTTACATTATATTTTATAAGAATTATAATTATTCGAAATTGTTACCCTTTGTGGGGAAGGCACTTGATGGAGTGGACCGATATTATCCATTTTTCCACCTGACCTAGAACTGACGCAGATATTAGGATTTGCAAAGTTGGAACAAAATCGGATTATCGTTTCTCTTTTTGTGCAGAAAATATTTTTGTGTGTGTGTTTTTTTTTACATTCCTCCCTTTTGTGGGGGAGGTACCAGAAGGAGTGGACCGATGTATTCCATCTTGGCACAAGACCTTGGGTTAATAAAATTATTGGGATGTGTGAAATTTGAAGACAATCAGACTCTTACATCACATTTTATAAATGTTGTAATTATTCAAAATTTGGACCCTTTGTGGGGAAGGTACCCGATGCAGTGGACCTATATTGTCTATTTTCGCACCTGACCTAGCACTGATGAAAACAATAGAATTCGCAAAGTTCGACCAATATCGGAATATTCTATCTCTTTCTGCGCAATTAATTATTTTCTTTGAAAATGTTGACATTTTGTGTGGGAGGTACCAGAAGGAGTGGGGCGATACATTCCATTTTCAAACCAGACCTTGGGTTAATAAAATTATTGGGATGTGAAATTTGAAGATAATCGCACTCTTACGTCACATTTTATAAGAGTTGTAATTATTCAAAATGTTTACCCTTTGTGGGGAGGTACTTGATGGAGTGGACCTATATAGTCCATTTTCGCACCTGACCTAGCAGTCCTGCAAATACATTAGGATATGCCAAGTTGGAATCAAATCTGTCTATATTTTCTCTTTCTGTGCAGTAAATTTCGACCTTTAATGTGGGAGGTGCCAGAAGGAGTGGACCGATATTGCTCATATTTCAACTCGATCTAAGTTTGAACATAATATTGCGATGTTCCAATTTTGCACTAAATCGGATACTCCCTTCGAGAGTTAACGTTAGTACCAGACAGATGCACAGACGAACGGGCAACCCTGGATCGAATCCAAATGCCCTAAAAGGGATTAAGGGTCTAAAAGCGTTATTTCGATGATTTAAGTTTTTTCCGTATCAAATGATATATGCCCCCTCTAGCCATATGAGTGAGGGTGTAAAATCATGGCTAAAATGTAAAAAAACTACTTGAAATCAGGGAACTTGGACAGACAATACCCATATTTTGTAGAAATTATTCTATTTGGAACCCATGGGCCTGTATTAAATTTAAAAGCCCTATCTTAAATTTTGCGAAGTATACAGCAAAATATTTGAGACCTATATATAATGAGCCATCAACATTTTTGGCATGGGAACCCTAAAACACTTTTTTTATTTTGATGAACTAGCCAAAAACTATAACCTGTACATGGACAGTCAGACATAGCTAGTTCGTCTTAAAATGTGTGAAGTGACCGAAGGGACTGTTTGTTTCCATGAGGCACATTTTGGTCATATTGAACTATATATACCCTCTTTAAGTATTTCACTGAAGTCATTTCCAGCTGCAGACCCTTATCTTGAGAAAAAAATTTGTTTTTAGATTTTGTTCAAAGAAGCCCTTACCACGTTCAAAAAATATTTTCAAAATATATTTTTTAATGATTAAATATACTCGTATGAAGAAGTATTACAAACCTTTTCGAAATTTTCCCTTTCAACTTTTCTTTGGGAATATATTTATTGAACTGACCACAACACTGACATACCATAACAAATACTTAGAAGCATTTCCATAAACGCTTTATACAACATAATTGTGCTGACCAAGGCCACATTTAGTTAACCAATCTTTATTTCGAACTATTTAAACAAAGTGAACTTACCGCCTTTAACGTGGACCTCGCGGCTAAGAACTGTGCCGACCAAGTTTCTTAATTTGCATCTGAAAAGGGAAGCACAAAGCAAACGAAAATAATTAAGTTGGCATTTTTTGAGAGGAGAATTTATCGTAACCAAAGATACAAAAAAAAAAACGAAAATTATTTGAAAAATCTACACAACTACACCAACAACCAGCCGGACAACTTACCTATAAACACTGGAATGAACTTCGTGACGAAACTTTTCCGCTGTGAATGGATAGAACATCAGACTACCATTTGTTGTTTGCACCACCATATCCTGTTGTGGTGGTATGGGCGTCCACTCCACCTGGAAGCAAAAGAAAAAAAAATAGGGCGTTAATGAATGGAAAATGGTTTGGTTTTAATTTAAGCGTTTTGTGTGTTTTTTGGTCAACTTTAGATTTTTTTTTCGTTTCTTAATGCTAAATTAAGAATATTCTTTGTTTTAGTTGAGTATTTAATTAAAAATTAAACATGATTTGGTTTGCTCCCAAAGCTTGGAAAATATACCCCATTATTTTGAATTTAAATTTTAATTAACAAACAAGTAAAACAAGTTAAAAAGTATCAGTCGGTATTGCCGCCAGATATATACCCTCAGCCTATGTTCGATTATTTAAATATATTTTGACTAGTGTTAAGATTATTCAAACGTTTGACCCTCTATGGAGCAGGTCCTGAAGGAATGGGCCAATATTGCCCATTTCCTATTTGACCCAAAAATATGATATAAATATTGCGACTGATGTGCCAAGTCTAAATGGAATCGGATGTTAATTTGGCCTTTTATGAGTTTCATGGGTACTCAAAATTTCAATATTTTGTGGGGAGGTACCAGAAGGAGTGGACCGATGTATTCACCCTTCACACCAGACCATGGGTTAATACAAATATTAGGATGTGTGAAATTTGAAGACAATCGGACTTTTACATCATATTTAATGAGATAGTAATTATTCAAAATTTTGACCATTTGTGGGGGAGGTACTTGATGGAGTAGACCGATATTGTCCATTTTCACACCTGACCTAGTACTGACGCAAATTTTAGGATATGCAAAGTTGGAGCAGAATCGGATTATCCGTTCACTTTCTGTGCAAAAAATATATTTTTGAACAATTCCACCTTTTGTGGGGGAGGTACCAGAAGGAGTGGACCGATATTGTTCATCTTAACACCAGACCTTGGGTTAATGTAAATATTAGGATGTGTGAAATTTGAAGACAATCGGACTCTTACATCACATTTTATGAAAGTTGTAATTATTCAAAATTTTGACCATTTGTGGGGAGGTACTTGATGGAGTGGACCGATATTGCCCATTTTCACACCTGACCTAGCACTGACGTAAATATTAGGATTTGCAAAGTTGGACCAAATTCGGATTATACTTTCTCTTCCTGTGCAAAAAATATATTTTTTGAAAATTTCGACCTTTTGTGGGGGAGGTACCAGAAGGAGTGGACCGATATTGCCCATCTCCGAACTCGATCTAAGTTTGACAAAAATATTACGATGTAGCCAATTTGGACCAAATCGGATACTCCCTTCGAGAGTTATCGTGCGCACCAGCCAGCCAGACAGACAGACAGACGGACGGACGGACATCGCTAGATCGACTCCAAATGTTCTGAAACGGATTTGGTCCAAAGAGACCTAGAGTCTAAAACCGTTATTTCGACTAGGCACGTTTTGGCCGTATCAAATGATATATACCCTCTGTAGCCATATGGCTGAGGGTATAAAAAGCAGTAAGTTCGGTCAGGCCGAACTTTGAATACTTTCCACCATTTTGCGACGAATTGGGAAATGTTCACAAAAGTAAAATGCGTTAAAAATTCTGTTAAAATCTTAAAAATTCCAAATATAGCATTATATTGGGGTCTATAGGAAGACGTGACCCTGCATAGGCAATTTTTGCTATAGGCCATTACAATATTGAAATAGGAAGCTTGAAAATATTCTGTGAATAACGTGGCTAAAATTATCAAAATAGCGAATATAGGGAGGTACCCCTGTACAGGGTGAGATCAGAAAACTGCAACCAATTTCAGACTGCTGTCATCTATAAGCCACTAGACCGGCAGGTGTTAAAATTATTCCAGTGACAGCTCATTATATTGTTTACCAGCGTACAAACGTATTTTGGCGAGAATTTTCCAGAAAAAAAGTTATTCGTGATGAAATTCAAGCGTGATAGTGTGATTTCTTTATATTTGGCTGGAAAACCACCAGTGGCTATCGTTAGAGCACTCCAGTATTTAAATGTGAATAAAACTTTTGTTTCTCATACCATCGCTCGTTACCGTGATACTGGTAGTGTATCCCGACGTCAAGGAAGTGAACGGAAGAAAACAGCAACATGAGCAGAAATGAATCGAAAAGTAAAGAAGCGACTTGATCGGAACCCGCGTCGCAGTGGCCGAAAAATGGCTCGTGAGCTAGCAATATGCCATTTGCAAATATTGAAAAATGAGCTCGGGGTAAGGCCATTGAAATTCAAAAAAGTGCAAGAACTTACACCGCATCAGAAAGAAAATAGACTCAATAGAGCTAAAGAGTTGCTTCGCTTGACCGAAAGTGGTGAACTGCCGAATTTGGTTTTCTCCGATGAGAAAACATACGTTGTCCAGCAGTTTGTAAACAAACAAAATGATCGTGTTTACTTGCCAAAGAGGTCAGCTGAAAATGTGCACATTTGGTTGGCCACCAGAACTCAATCGCCGTCCATGGTGATGTTGTGGGCCGCCATAACAGCCGATGGTCGCTCTCCGCTCGTATTAATCGACCGTGACATCAGAATAAATGCCGAATATTATTGCGAAAATATTCTGGAGGGTGTATTAAAGCCTTGGACACGCAAACATTTTGGCCGCAGACTTTGGGCATTCCAACAGGACTCAGCACCATCGCACTCAGCACGCGCCACCCAAGAATGGATACAAAATGACGTTCCTCGCTTCATTTCCAGCGCACAATGGTCACCAAAATCTCCTGATACCAAGTCGTCGGACTATTGGGTCAGGAGTATTGTGGAAAGTAAGGTTTGCACTAAAAAATACCAAAGTGTCGATCACCTCAAGCAAGCACTTCGCCGGGAATATGCCAAAACACCGCAGAGTAAAATTCGGGCAGCGTGTGATAGTTTCATTGGCCGGTGCAGGGCCATAATTCGTATCACAGGCCTTGGTACTTATTTGGAATTTCAAATACGAAATATGTAACAATTCCGGTGAATAATGTTGCTAGAACCGTCAAATATCGAATATAGGAGGTACCGATGTATGGGGGCTATAGGAAGATCTGGACCTGCATAGACATGTTTATGTTATAGGCTATAATACTTATTAGGAACTTCAAATACGAAATATGAAACAATTCCTGCGAATAATGTTTCTAAAATCATCAAAATACGAAATGTAGGGAGGTATCGTTATAAGGGGGCTATATGATATCGTGAACATCTATAGACAATGCTCTTCTAGAGGGTGTAGTACTCAGAAGGAAATTTTTGTATAGATTTCAGACAATTTTATTGAAAAATTTGGCTACAATCACCAAAATTCCGAATTTCGGGGTTCGGTATTGCCCACACTGACGGACGGATAAGGCTAAATCAGCTTAGAGTTTTATGCTGATCAAGAATATCTATATTTTGTTAAGTCTAAAATTATTATGTTGATGAGTTACAAACGGAATGACGAACTCCATACTATGTATGATGGAGGTTATAAAATGCTAACCTAGAGAAACATAGACAAGCTAAGTTTTTGCTTTGCAAGGGCATGGCTAACTCTGCTCTAGTGATCCATACATATGGAATAGGGAAGCAGTCAGTTGAGATACTCCAGAGACAGATGAGCTTAAGGTGTATTTCCTCTTTTCTCCATCTTCCCTCTTGTCCAAAACTAGATCCTACGCATAATATATCCTCCCTAATAAGGTGCAGGACAAAATTTTCCATTTTCAAACTATGAATTAATAATTACCTTCAAAGAATTTAATATTTTGCTAAAAATCAAAAATTTGCCCCGATTGATGACACTCAACTTTACCTTCAGCAAACTTTCGGTTCCCTTGTCTCTTTCCAAACTTTATCGGGGTAACATCTGTGATTGGTGTTCGTCGTGAGTATGTGTGTGCAATGCTTTCACCCCTCCGCTTTGGAAGTAAACCAAAAACATATTTTGAACAACAAACTTTCTCGCAAAAACTCGTTACACCGCTGCTGATGTTTCTGACTTTAGCCTTGGTCATTAAATATGAACGATCTAATTAAAAGTCATTCTTCGAAGCTGTAGTAGTTTGTGTGTCTGTGTGTATAACGGTATGTTATTTCGCAGGGTATACATTTTGTAAAAAAACCACAACTTCTATTAAAGTTTAAAATTTTCATTGCGAACTACAGGTGGGAGTTGTTAGAGACCGGGTTGAATATTTACTCGAAGTTCGTAAACAATGAATACAAGCGATTTCTATGGGAAGAAGGATATAGGTAAATTTTTAAATCATTTACATGAAAAGTTCTCAGGTGTATGACAATGAAACACACTAATTGATACATAAATATGTAGCGGATTTGCAAAATTCAGGTATGTTTTCATTATTAGCTTTAATTTGCCAAAAAACGGAATATATGGCGTGTAAACTCAGATAATATCAATTTAAAAAGTATCAGTCGGTTTGGCCCAGAGATGTATACCCTCAGCTGTAGTCTTCTTATTTAAATATATTTTGAGTTGTGTTTTGATTATTCAAGCTGTAGCCCTTTTAGTTGGAGGCTTAGAAAGAGTGGGCCAGTATTGACCATTTCGTATCTGACAGATGTCGGATATAAATATTATAACGTGCAAGATTTGGATTATATCGACTATTTCCTTTATTTTATATGAGATATGTGATAATTTTTGGAAAATGTTGAAATGTGCGTAGGGTACCAAAAATAGTGCACCGAAGATTTCTAAAATGGCCCATGTAGGTCCACGTCTTCGTATAGCCCCCCTATATATCGGGAGGTACCGTTATATAGGGGGGCTATACGAAGACGTGGACCTACATGGGCCATTTTCAACACCAAAAGTCTATCAATTTACTTCATTTCGTTCGGAAGCTAGAGTGATTTCCACAGACGGATAGACGGACGGACATTGCTGAATCTACATAGAATTTTATGCCGATCAAGAATATATATACTTTGTGGGGTCTGAAATGGCTATTTCGAGGTGTTACAAACGGAATGACAAACTTAATATACCCTCCATACTATGGTGGAGGGTATAAAAAAACACTGACTTGCGTCACAAGTTATGACTATTCATAGGGGAGTTAACAGATATTATGGTTTCAAAAGAATCGGATGCTTATTTCGAATTTTATGAGTGATCTATAATCATTCAAAATGTGGGAGGTAGCGGTAGATATGACCCGATATGTTCCATTTTCACGCCAGATCTTGTGTTGCCAGAAGTATTGGGATATGCTTAGCTTGAAAGGAATCGTATGCTCATACAGCTTTTTTGAGGTTCATTGTTATTAAAAATGTTAATCCCTTTTAGGGGATGTACCAGAAGGAGTTGTTAGATGTATTCAGTCTTGAGTCTTGAGATTTTGTTTTATTTTTTTATACCGAAATAGTGGCGTGAATGTCTAATACTAAATTCAATTGATACAAATTCATCTTCCATTATCCATTATCTTCCGACAGGGCGCGTATAAGTTATAATAACTGAAATAATGACAGCAATCATACGCCACCTTATACTTGATTTTGAGATATATGTGGTGTCCGTTGGAATTGCAATTTTCGAAAAAAGGAAAGTTGTGTTGAATTGTGCTAGGTTCGAAAAAATATCTGAGATATTCGAATTTTTTTTTTCGAAAAAGTTAAAGTTGTGCTGAGTTGTACTCGGTTTGTGCCCATTTGGCCGATAAAATTTTTTCGATATCCCTTACCAATTTCGAAAAAACGACAACTTCGAAAGTATGCCAGAATTGCAATTTTCAAATTTCGGGTTTTTTCGAAAAAAATCTTTATTCGAATATCTCAGAAATTTTTTCGAATTTCGAAAAAAAATCGGCACAATTGAGCTCAAACGTAGCACAATTCAGCACAACTTTCCTTTTTTTGGAAATTCGAAAATTGCAATTCCAACGGACACCACATTGGAGATATAATTCGAAAGTCTGATTAAAAAGAAAAAATTAGGCGAGAAATCCAATGGTTAAGGCGACAAATGAATGAGACAAATCCCACTAGGGGGAAGCCTACCCGGAAAAAATTGGTATTTAAATCCAAAATAAACATGAAAAATTTTGTATTTGAAAAAGAAGCGAAGAAAATTTGATGATATTTCCCCCCCTCCCCCTGTTAGCTCCATTCTTTTTTTTTGGGGGGGGGCTTCTTTTCATTTCTTTCCAATATCTGAATACGAGATAATTTATTGTATGCTTATCTCATGTTATAGTAAGAATAATAATCACTGAAAATCTTAGTCTGATTAGAAACTGCATCACCTATTGTATGACCAACTATTACGTACATAAACTTTAAACCACTAAATACATACCTCCGGTGGCGGACTGCCATGGCCGGAACACTCAATGAGACCTCCGGAATTATTTGAGAATTCCACGCGATGCGCCGGCTCGTGCAGAAATACTGGGCCTTGTAAATCCAATCCATTGACCGTGACATACCATTGAACTGCAAGAGACAGAAATTAATTGACAGGAGTTATAAAATTATTTTCAATAACTACAAGTTTTTTTTTTAGAAAAATTATTTTTTCCAAACTACTTTATTTTTAGACGTCAAAAAACGTCAAAGCATACTTAGCAATATTCACATGAAAAAATGTATATTAATAAGGTATAAGGCAATTAATTCTTTTTTAATCTGCGGCGTAATACAAGACGCCTTCAACACCTTTACCTAAAATTCAATGTTGCGTACACAAATATTCAACTACTACACTACGTTAAAATCTTTTGTACGTTCATATTACCTAAGGCCACGTCCATATCTTATAATTTATAAAATAAAAACGTTGTAAAAATTGATACTTTTTTAAATTCAACAAATCGTAACATTTGTATACCCTACACCAAGTAGTGGTAAGGGTATTATGTTTTTGTGCATTTGCTTGCAATATGAAGAAGGAAGCGAGATAGACCCATAGTTACTCTTGAGGATCTTCATAGAATAACTTTTTGAGTCGATTTAGGTATGTCAGTCCATCCGTCAGCACATGCATTCTTGTGAACAAAATGCAGGTCGCATTTATTATGCGATTGATATGGAAATTTCCAAACAATGTTTGTTACGTCCATGAAAAACCCTATTGAAATTCGAGCTAATCGGTTCAAACTCATACATAGCTCCCATATATATTTTCAACCAGTACAAATCAACTGAATTTTTGCCGACAGAATTCAATCTGGAAGCAAGAACATAAAATTTGGTAAAGATCGGTTCAAACTACAGCTCCAATATATAAAGTCCCTCATACGCGTAATATGCACTCCAAAAGAATTATATTTGTTACCAGATAACTTAATGAGCTCAAAAATACCTCTGTCAAATTAAATCGAAATAGGATCAGATTAGGATATAGCTCTCATATATATCATTATACGATATGAGGTTTATTGTGCACCAAATGTCCAGTATCAGCCCAAACGACCTGGATTTTGGGTTTTTGTGCACCAAATGGCTAATATAAGCCCAAATTGACTGAATTTTAGCACTTCCGAGGGAATTCAAGCTAAAAGCAAATTATTCAAATTTTGGTGAAAATCGTGTCAGATATAGTTATAGCTCTCATAAACAGATTTCATCCGAGTTGATGTTGAAGTCCCTCACATGCGTAATATGCACTTCTCACAATGATATTTGATATCGTGCATCAGATAATTCTCGAAAATGCAAAAATGAAAGCAAAAATGTCGGAAATAGCATCAACTTTTAGAATAAGTTTAGATTTGTTCGAATTGGTCACATTTGATACGAATTATGGCCTTTAAACGGCCAATGATACCGTCACACGCTGCCCCAATGTTGCTCCAAGGTATTTTGGCCCATTCCCTTGTTTTGGTATTTTTTAGTGCCAACCTTGCTTTTCAAAATACTCCAGACACAATAGACAAACGGATTGGTATCCGAAATGAAGCGAAGAACCTCATTTTGTAACCATTCTTGGGTGGCACATGCTGAGTGCGATCACGTTAACCAGCGATGGTACGAGACACAATAAATTTATTCACATTCAAATGCTGGAGTGCTCTAACGATAGCCACATATTGTTTTCTAGCCAAATGTAAAGAAATCACACTATCACGCTTGAATTCCATCACGAATAACTTTTTTTTTGTAAACAATATAATGAGCTGTCACTGGAAATTTTAGAAGCTGTCGGACGAGTGGCTTAGAAATGACAGTAGTCTGAAGTTGGTTGCAGTTTTTCATCTCACCCTGTATCTTCGATATCATATTCAACCGAATTTTATCAATTGGTGAAACTCGGTCCAGTATATATCTATTGCTCCAATAAATACTTTTTAATATAATCCTTGTCGAAGTCATATCATGAACCATACAACAATGTTATTTGGCTCATAGTTGGCATGACCTATTTCACATAAATTCCTAATATAAACTTTTTTGTTACGAAAGCTCTGCTATATACGCACAGTGGTGAAGGGTATCATATAGTCGGCCCCGCAGTGATTTTGTCCTCTTCATACTGGTTTTTTCTATTTTCTCAGTAATCTAAAAGTATTGCCCTAACTTTCTGACCCTTTCCTCCATATTTACACATTTGAGTATTATCGACATTTTTCAATATAAATATTTCATAACAGTATTAAAACTCTTGCAAGGTAAGTAATACGTTTTCAATTTCCTTGCAGATCCTCTATTCCATTACAGAAATGAATTCAAAGAAAACATTAACAGGAATTCTTCAATAGTAGTAATAAAAATAATTATAGTCATTACATCCTTCGTTTCGTTTCTCCCATTGATAGATTGCAGAATGTGACATTTACTGTTGTAAATGATGACGATAATGACGATGCTCTTCGAGTTCGAATGACATCCGGATTCAAAGTGAAATAAATCATAATGATGTTCATTTCTTTTGTACTTCGCTGTACTTCTGTGATTGTCTCAGTCATCGTTAAATAAATTACACGTTTTTAATATTTTTTTTTTGTCAGAACACGATGCTTAACGATTTGCAGTTGAACAAAGATAATAGCTTTGAATTATGAATGCTGTTTAATAGAGTTCGTGAGAACAAAAATAGCAAATTGATAAGATGAAGAAATTGTTATGCTTGAAAATCGTTGCTTAAGGCCATGAATTTATTTATATATTTCCTATAAATAAGAATTCAATAGGAATTAGGAAGAATATAAATTCGAAGTACTCAAATATTTAAAACACTGAAAATGTGGAAATTAATTCCACTCAAACTTTGACCTCAAAATACCTTTGAAAAACTCACTGGTATTGGAAGTTATTAAATTCTCTTGAAATATGATTTTTTTTTTTTTTTTTTGACATATTTTATTCTCACCAGAATTATTCAATCAATATGAAATGAGTAAAACGCATCACCCACCCTAATATCTACTCAATGTCATTGATAACAAAAGACAATTTACAATGCTCCCGTCCATTAGTGTGACATAAAAGTTTATATCACTGGAAATGTTAGAAGTTGGAAACAAAGTGGCAAAATTGATCGTTCGAAGATGAAATCATATATAAATGTCTACGCTAATGACGGAGAAAGGTTGAACGTCTTCATCTTTCCTTCGATATTCTTTAAAGCCAATCTGCACTCATTTTTGTTGTAGGTGACCAAGGTTAGAAGAACATGTCACTCGTAGCTGGACTAATGTAATGAAGTTCTGCTGTCAATTAGGATCGTAAAAGTTGACTTTTGAAACGTCCGGAAGTGGTTGCGTCCAAAGTATAACCAGTAAGGAAAGGTCAAAAGTCGGACGGGCCCGCATTTAGTAAAGCTCACGTAACAAAAATATTTTTATTGGGAATTTATGTAAAGTAGATCATATTACGCATGTGAGGGGCTTTAGTATCAAATCGGATGAAACATATATATGGGAGCTATAGCTATATCTGAACTGGTTTTCACCAAATTTGAAGTATCTGTTTTTAAGCGGAATTTCGTCGGAAGTGCCAAAATTCAGTCCATTTGGGCTGATATTAGCCATTTGGAGCAAAAAACCCTGAAATCGGATAAATATAAGGGAACTATATTCAAATCTGAAACGATGTTGACAAAATTTTCAAAACTTATTTCAGAGCTGTATCTGATATCTAACACCAATGATCATTGTTGTGGAGTCCATACTACGCATGTCAAACGATGTAAGTTTTAGCTTTTTATTAAATGAAAGCAGAAAATGTCAGAAATAGCATCAAATTTTTAGAATCAGTTTAGATTTATTCGAATTGGCTACCTTGGGCACGAATTATGGCCTTCAAACGGCCAATGAAACAGTCACACACTTCCAGAATGCAGCTCTGCGGTATTTTGGCCCATTCCCGGCGAACCGCTTGCTTGAAGTGATCGACACTTTGGTATTTTTTTAGTACCAACCTTGCTTTCCAAAATACTCCGGACACAATAGTGAAATAGTGGAAATGAGACGAGGAACCTCATTTTGTAACCAATCTTGGTTGGCGCGTGCTGAGTACGATGATGCTGAGTCCTGTTGGAATGTCTAAGGTCTGCGGCCAAAATGTTTGCATGCCCAAGGCTTTAATACACCCTTCAGAATATTTTCGCGATAATATACGGCATTTATTATAATGCCACTGCCGATTAATACGAGCGGAGAGCGATCATCGGCTGTTATGGCCGCCCACATCATAACCATGGCCGACGCTTGAGTTCTGGTGGCCAACCGAAGGTGCACATTTTCAGCTGACCTCTTTGCCAAGTTAACACTATCATTTTGTTTGTTTAGCAACTCTTTAGCTCTTTTGAGTCTATTTTCTTTTTGTTGCGGTGTAAGTTCTTGCACTTTTTGGAATTTCAATGGTTTTACCCCGAGCTCATTTTTCAATATTTGCCAATTGGAATATTGCGATATGTTCAGCTTACGAGCCATTCAAGTCAAGTCGCTTCTTTACTTTTCAAACCTTTTCTGCTGATGTTACTGTATCACGGTGGTACAAGACACAAAAGATTTATTCACATTTAAATGCTGGAGTTCTCTCACGATAGCTACTTGTGGTTTTCCAGCCAAATATAAAGAAATCACACTATCACGCTTGAATTCCATCACGAATAGCATTTTTTCTGAAAAATTTTCACCAAAATGCTTTTTTACGCTTGTAAACAATATAATGAGCTGTCACTGGAATAATTTTAACAGCTGTCGGACTAGTGGCTTAGAAATGACAGCAGTCTGAAGTTGGTTGCAGTTTTTTCAACTCACCCTGCATATGCGAAGCATATCTAAATGTTAACCGATTATATCCGATGGGGTTCGCCTTGAGCCAAATAAATTGTTTGTGCAAAATGTCATCTCGATCGGTCAATAAATGCGACTTATACTTTGTTTACAAAAATACATGGCAGACGAGGATCGATATGCATAAATCGATTGAGAATGTGATTCAATACAGATCATCTATCTATGGATTTATCTTGCTTCCTTCTCCATGTT